ATAAAACGTCTTTTCTAAACATAAAATATAGGGAAAAATGCTTCCAGCCCCCAAAACTAATGAAAACAAGCTTCCCCCTCCCAAGACTTTTTCAACGTGTGTTTTACCCCCAAAAGTAAACTCTGTGTTCTCTGAGCCCCCAAAACACAAAACCCAAGAAATTAAGATACGTGAAGACCATAATACCCTCCATTGTCACATCCTCCTTCCTCTCCAAACCTAACCACCGCAACCTCCTCTCTTTCTCCTCCTTCCATGGCCTCAAGCTCATCTCCGCCTTCAAAACCCAATCTTTCTCCTCCCTATCATTGTCATCCTCCGCCCCCAAATCTCCACATCCTACGACCTCTCCTCCATCTGCTTCCGCCCCATCAAAGAATCCATCGTCTCCCGCGAGATGACCCGCCGCTACATGTCCGACATAATCACCTACGCTAACACCGTCGGCGGCGGCGGCGGTGGCGGTGGCGGCGAATCCGTCGGCCTCTCCTGCGCCTACGAGCTCTCCAAGAACCCCGACATCAACGTCGCCATCATCGAGCAGTCCGTCTCCCCGGCATTGACGATCTGATTTCTTCCTCCATCTAGAGAGCGTCGAGTTTGTACAGAAAGTGAAGCGTATCGCTGACAAATACTGGGATCTCTACTCTCAGGAACGCGATCTCCCTGGACATTTACTTAGCTATCCCATTGGAGTAAGCAGTGAAGGAGTTGTTACAGAGCTCCCAAGGACGGAGTTTTTCCCCGATACAAAGGCTCGTGTTATTTGAACCAAGTCTGATTACATGCCCCCCATCCTCACCACTTAGGTAGCATTTGTCTTGTTTCTTTGCTTCAGGTTGTTTTTACTAAATAATAGTGTTATTGTATGTGGGAATAAAAAAAGAGTATCTTTGATTGTGGGTTGTAGTTTGTTGTTGGTGTTCTTTGATGGATGCGAATTAATTTATGCGTGTGTGAGGTTTTAGTATTGAGATATGTTTTCCTTTATGGCATAAATAGAATCTATGTTAAGCCTGAAGTTTGATTATTTGTCTCCTATTGTGTTTTGTTAAGGTTTGTCGTCGGTTGTTAAGATTAGTGGTCGGTTGTTAAGGTTACGGATTTGTTGTTAAGGTTACGTGTTTGTTGTTAAGGTTACACGTTGGGATTTATATGTATATATATTTTGGTTGTTAAGATTACACTTTTGTTGTTAAGGTTACGCGTTTGTTGTCAAGGTTACGGGTTTGTTGTCAAGGTTAATTTCACAACTAATTAGAATATTCGTTGTTAAGGATAAGGGTTGGTTGTTAAGGTTACGCGTTTGTTGTCAAGGTTACGGGTTTGTTGTCAAGGTTAATTTCACAACTAATTAGAATATTCGTTGTTAAGGATAAGGGTTGGTTGTTAAGGTTACGCGTTTGTTGTCAAGGTTACGGGTTTGTTGTCAAGGTTAATTTCACAACTAATTAGAATATTCGTTGTTAAGGATAAGGGTTGGTTGTTAAGGTTACGCGTTTGTTGTCAAGGTTACGGGTTTGTTGTCAAGGTTAATTTCACAACTAATTAGAATATTTGTTGTTAAGGATAAGGGTTGGTTGTTAAGGTTACGCGTTTGTTGTCAATGTTACGGGTTTGTTGTCAAGGTTAATTTCACAACTAATTAGAATATTCGTTGTTAAGAATAATGGTTGGTTGTTAAGGTTATGCGTTTGTTGTCAAGGTTACGGGTTTGTTGTCAAGGTTACGCGTTTGTTGTTAATGTTACATGTTTATTGTGAAATTAACCTTGACAATCAACCCGTAACCTTGACAACCAAACCCGTAACATTAACAACAAACCCGTAATCTAAACAACAAACACGTAACCTTGGCAACAAGGCTCTTAGGCTCTTAGCAATAAGGTTACCCGTAACCCGGAATAAGGTTTGTAGAATATCGTAGCCATCATCAGTTCCATGCAAAAATTTCTTAACAATCAACCCGTAACCATAACAAGCAACCCGTAACCTTAACAACCAACACGTAACCTTAACAAGCAACACGTAACCTTAACAAGCGACGCGTAACCTTCACAACCAACGCGTAAATCACTTGGCTTTTGAAAATCTCATTAAAAGTGAAATATTATTATAATTTCCCTAAAAATTAAAAGTGAAATATTCATTTTCTAAAAATATATTGTTATATATGTTTCCGAATCTTACAAAAAATCAGTAAGAAAAAAGAAAATTACCAACAATTAACCCTTCAAAAAACAAAAAAAACAAGATTAAAATCACTAACAGGACCCACTTCCTTCTTCCACCTCCTCAATTAACCCTTCAAAAAATAAAAAAAATATTAAAATCACTAACATGACCCACTTCCTTCTTGCACCTCCTCAATCTCAAAACGAACCGAGGAAGCCACGAAATCACAGCAAGTGCCCACCACCTAAAACAAAATCCAGGTTTTGAAAATCCGACGCACATGCACCACGACCGCCGCCGTAAACTTCGTCATCCTCCTCTTGCTCATCACCTCCTCCTGCTCATCCTCGCCGTCACCGGCGTCTCTCCACGTGTCACGTTCCCGGCCATCCGCGTGGAGCTCAACATGACCCTCGACCTCCTCATCAAAAACCCTAACTATGCTTCGTTCTCTCCAGCTTTACTATGGTGGGGCCCAGGTTGGGGAGGCTGATGTGGATCCTGGGAGGATACCGGTGCGCGGGGCGATGCTCGTGACGGCGAGGTTGACGGCAGAGGGGGCAATCTCATCGCGGAGGTGGGGACCCTGCTGAGGGACATGATGACGGCCGCCATCGGGGAAAGGGACGGAGGAACCCTTTCAAATCATCACAGATAAAGAAAGAAAAAGAGAGAGAAAGGGTATTATGGTCTTCAAATTTTAATACTCTTGGTCTTTGTGTTTTGGGGGCTCAGTGCATATTTGTTACGAATTTGGGGGTTTTGAGAGCGTTGAAAAAGTCTTGGGAGGGGGAAGCTTGTTTTCATTAGTTTTGGGGGCTGGAAGCATTTTTCCCTAGATTAAATCTGTTATCTTTAAAATTTTAGCATTATTTTTTATTCTACAAATAGTTATACTATACATGCCCGCATCATGTGCAGAGGAGTACTAGTTATTTAATAAAGAGAAGGGTTGATAGAGTTATATAATTAATATAACTGATAGTAGTTTACACTTAAATTAGTCACATGAGGCAACACACGAGAGTTTCTCACGGTTGGTTGACAAAAGATAGCAAGTTGCACTTTTTTTAGTGTGTTTTTTGGTACAGTTTGAAACTTGGGGTATATTACTAATTTTTTGGGAAATAATAGGGTATTTAAGTACAATTTAGCCTTTATATTTAAGTTCGCTAATATTTTCCAATATGAGACCACATTTGCATATAATCACCATTTGTCATAGGCATACAGGATCTTCTAAGTTCCACTGTTTGTGTGCTCATAAGAACTTATGAGGACTGATGAGAGCTTCGCATTAGACTTTATTTTTCTAATGGTGATTATATTATGAATAATAGGGTCCCTTTGATAGTTAGATGGTTCTTATATAAAGATTGAGAGTCAAGTTAATTGGGGGAAAAAAGAAGGTATCAACATTTACTTTGTATATTTAAGTTTACTTTTTTGGGTGTTATCGCTAACTTTGTATATTTAAGTTTATTTTTTCCCGCACGAAACTCCTACATAAATTCCTAGAAACCATTCCTAGACCCGTCCATCCGGACCGGCCTGGGAAACCGGGCCCGGGCCGGGCAAAACCAAAGCCCGGACCCGGGCCCGGGTGACCCAATATGCTGCCTTCCAAATAAGGCTGCGAAAGAGCCCAATATGCTATAACCTAGGCTCTGTCCAGGCCCATTCAAAGATTCAGCCAAAAACCGGAAACATGCACGTGTGCTGGAGACGCCACACGTGCGCATTCCCATGCGTCGTAGTCGTATGGCCCGCAGCAAACCCTATCGCTCCAATCCAACGGCTGAGATATATGCTGGGAATTTCCTTAGGGTTTCGAGGTATATAAACTCCCCTCACCCGACCATTTCACGGCGCGGTGCAGTTTCAGGCTGCCGTCCCAAAAATAAGTTCTTAGAAAAAAAAAATCGAAAAAAATCTCAAAAAACTCAAAAAATTCAAAAATCAAGAATTCCTCTCTCGGATCTCGAATTTCAGTTATCATCCCTATCAATTTATCTAAAAAAATCAAAAAAAGAGGAAGATTTATTCGCTGATTCGCTCTTCTTCTATCTATTCATCCGAAGCCCTAGAAAAAATCGAAAAAAACCGAAAAAAGAGGAAATTTTGAGGATCGAGAGATGGCGCAAGTTCAAGCTCCGCAGCCGGTGCAGCAGAGTGTTGGGATGAACGGTGCTCCATCGAGAGATGGGCGCCAAGTTCAAGCCTCCGCAGCCGGTGCACGCAGAGTGTTGGGATGAACGGTGCTCGGCCTCCGCTGCCGGCAGGCCTGGAGGTGGTGATGGCGG